ACAATGAAGGTCGGTTGAAACCTAAACTTTACGACAAAAGATTTCAGCTTCAGAATTGTAAACTTTCCATTTCTATGCAGCAACATTCCAGCAGCGCCTGCATACGGAGTATATATCTCCCAGTTGATACGATATTCCAGGGCTTGTATTTCCTATCATGATTTCCTTAATATACGGTTGCTGCTCACAAGGAAGCTATTAAACCAAGAGTTCCAAATGGTGAAGTTGAAATCATCCCTTCGTAAATTTTACAAACGCATTCACGGGTTGGTTGACCAGTATGGAATATCCGTTTTACAGATGATAACTACAATCCCGTCCCCTTTTCATAAAATGTAACCCACCGAATTAGACTTATTTCCGGTTTTGTTCTTGCATGAAAAACACGAAGGGTGCAACATGTGGAGCAGGATTTGCTAACCCTTCCGGAGCACCTGAGATTACTCCCAGGTTTTGGTAGGGTTAGTGTTGATCAGTCTTTAGTTTTCTATGTTGTGTTGTGTGTACTGTTGTTTGTTTGTTTGTCTTTTTCTTTTTTAGCCATGGCGTTGTCAGTTTATTTTCGACTAATAAGTGTGAATGTCCCTTTGGTATTTTTCGCCTCTCTTTTAAAATCGTTCTTAGTTCTTAAGGGATCCGTGATATTTTGCCTTATTTTATATTTGTTTATTTACAAAGTGCCTTCAAATACATCTGATGTTTTTTTTTTAATTCTCACAAACGTATTTGGCTTAGTTTAAATGAAAATAAAGAACAGAAGATGAAAATACTGTTTAAGAAAAAATACATATCTGTGTTAAAATCTCCTCAGTCTGTTAATTAAAGTTTGACATCCAACTTCTTAATCCGCAATCCACATTTACCTGACAACCATGTGTACTGTATAATCTTGATGGAATACCCTCGTGAACATGCAATCACCAGGAACTAATAATATAGCTGTTATGATGTTTATCAAAACTTTATGAAAATATCTAAGTAAAATTTGAATTTGTCAAATAAACGAATAATCTAGCATAGTTCAACATTGGAGAAATGACTCAATTTGAACGTAATGAATAAGATAATAGTGTCTTCAACACTATGCCAGCATTTGATAAATACATATCCAACCTATACCTACAAACAAAATACAATAGGTGTTGTTATAACAATTATTAATTAATTACAGGTAAAATACAGTCAGTATTTTCAAGCATTAAACATTACTCTTTCAAAACTTGAAAAACAAAAATAAAATACTTGCAGAATTGTTTTGCAGTAAATATGAAATTGTTATAAAAAAAATAGACACAAATAATAAAAAAGAACACTTGATAATTCAAAAAATGGTGTTACAGTAACCGATAAATTACTAAATAAAAAAAAAAAAAAAAAAATTATAATAGTACACTTAATACTTGCTAAAAAAATATAGTTGAAACGCTATTATATTGGCGAATTTTAAGATAACTTCTATTAACTATTTTGAAACATACAATAAACAAGCAACAAAATATACCAAACTCCTACAAACAATACTGAACTAAAACAAAATTAAACAATTTTAAATAAGATGAATTATGCAATATTCAAATTTTAAAATAACAATCAAATAACAGTTTACCTGACCGAAAACAGACTCTAGGATAACAACATGACACCTGTTGAGTACCCAGATGTAGCATCATATCTTCTACATATTATGAAGCGTATTGCTTTTGTGACAATCATAGTTTTAAAACTTTATCTTATTCTGCCTCTGCGTTCGTGTCAACATTTAAGGATTTAAAAGGTGATTTCTTTTTAACATAAGTAGTCAGTATTTATGAAATATATGTTTCAATAGTGATAAAGTCGTTATGTCCATGTATTTGAAAGAACATTTTTTATTGATTTCGCAAAAGCTGTCGACACAGTATGGAGAAATGGCTTATGGTTTCAGATGGAATTGAATAATATCAATGGAAAAATGCACGAAGTTATACATAGTATGAACAACAATATAAAATCACGAGTTATATACAATAATTAAAAGTCAGATTTTCTCCGTGTAACACTGGAGTAAGACAAGGTGAAAATATTTTCCCTCTATTTATCTCTTTATATATAAAACCTCACAGCAAGCTATAACGGGCCCCAAAATGATATTGTAAAACAATTTTCAAACAGGAAAACCAACGGTCTAATCTATATGCAAAACGAGAAACACCAATGAACCAAACCAACAAACGTCAACCACTGAACAACAGGCTCCTGACTTAGGGCAGGTGCATAAAAAATGCAGCGGGTTTAAATGTTTTAACAGGCGCCAACCTTCACCCTAACCTGAGACAGTAGTGTAACATTACAACATAAAAAGACAGAATATAAAATATCAATTGAAATGGCCGTACTCGATCAAAAAGACATTTAAACAAAAACAATCATACATTCAACGATAATATTGTATGGATAAAGTACATCAAAACCATATTGGACAATGCTAGATTCTCAAACCTATTTCATGTACAAAATACCGACCTAGCAAAATGGTTACCGAAAAGTCTCAAACTTCGATTGATTGACCAGTTTAAACAAATTTAGAACTCGGGTATATAGAACACTCCTAACTGCATCACATATAGGCTTTTCAAGGAAACTTTGGAATTTGAAAATCATTTTACTATTAGCAATGACCGAGATATATATACATTTTGCAAATTCCGAACTTCAAATCATTCACTCCCAATAGAAAAGGGGAGATGATATTATATTGACAGAAGTGAAAGAAGGTGTTTTATATGCCAGAATGGAGATATTGGAGACGAATATCACTATATTTTTGTTTGCCCGGCTTTAGAAGATGGAAGGAACAGATTTATACCAAAACGAACTAATAAACAGACACAATGTTTTATATACAACACACTGTTTAACTCCAAAAATCCAGAGACATTCAGACAGATTTGTAATTTCAGAAGATGCATCAACAGTAAAATTACTCCTTCTTCTCAATCATTATTTCAACATATTTAAACACTAAAACTATGTCTTTAAACATGTTTATTTACTTTATTTGTGTGTGTATCTATTTTCATATTTGTATTTATATTTATTTTTATTTTTTTAAATTTTTGTTTTTAATTTTTGTTTTTTTAATTTGTTTTACCTTTGTACCTGCATGGTTTTATGCAAATAAACCATTTATCTATTTAAACAAAATTATCATTAAATATTTTGATCGTATATATTGTATATTACTCATGAGAATGATACTTGTAAACATGCTACTCACAGAAAGTTTTCAACACTTCTATATAGAGATGAATGAGATCAAACTTTAAGGGATGTAAAAAAATGCCCTCCCAATTTTTTTCCCAGGGAAATGTTAGTTTCCGTTCATATGTAATTAATTATGCCAACAAGTTCACCACTTCGTCCATCTTGTGCGTTTTATATATTTTGTAACGAGACCATGTGCAAAACAATAGTTTAAACTGTAACTTTCAATTTTGACCCCTTCCCTCAAATTTTGCAAACACTGTAGCTGTCTATAGTTTGACCAGCATAACTGTTGTACTTTTGAATAAACAAATGATTGTAGATTAAGAAAACACAATCTTCAAAGATGAATCGAGATTTTGTTTTCTTTATTTACAGTCAGAACTGTTGTTATGCTAAACTTTTTTACGAAGTATATTACATATATGATTAGATAAATATTCCTTTAATAAAATTGTAAAAATCCTTATTTTCCATTGTTTTATATTATCAATTCCTAATGAAAAAAAGATCATAAAAACATTCAATTACCTACAAACACTTAAACATTCAGTTTTAACTGGTTGTAAATTGATTAGCCCCTAACCAATTTATGTTTTTATAACACTTAATCGGTTGCATATTGTTCAACCTATGCATTTTTTTTCATACAATTATATACCTATATTCCAAAATGTTGGCATAAGTTGAATGAACCAAGATAATGATTTTGTATTTTAAATAGATTAATATATATATATATATATATATATATATATATATATATATATATATATATATATAATATATGCATCATTTTAAATGATATAGCACTGCATAACATTAAATTTGATCATTTTCTTTATAAAATATCGTGATAGTCATTTCATGTCAAAACAATACCTAAGCCTGGCTTCGGCTGAAAACTATATAGTTTATCTGTCTTAAGACTTATATAAGAAGTGATCATGGGGATACATTTGTGTTGCTCATACTGAGAGAGAAAGATAAAAAAAAAGAAACAGAAATATTATTTACTATTTGGACAACAATTTGATTCGAGGGGGGGGGGGAGGGGATAAGTTGATGGCATATTTTATGTAGTGATGATTTTAAACTGGAAGGCAGCCAATTTATTCTGAATAATTCATCTGATTTATCATTAATTATAAACAAATTACTCTTCCAACCATGCTACTGACAGAATTAACAAACATAGATGTACACGAAAGGGGATTCAAAAGGAAGTCCGGCCTGTGACATACTATCTCACTCGACTATGATGTATGAGTATCTCATGCGATACGATGTGCCTTGAATAATTGACTAGTTTTTACACACCATCTATCTCACCTAAGATGTGTAAGTATCGCAAATGATATATGAGTATATGAGTATATGAGAACTTTATCTCTGATTATTAACACACCATTTAACTCGTTCAGGATATTTGCGTATAACAAATACAACAATATATCATTACTTGTTCTGTGATTAGTTACCCACTATCCGATTCATCTTTGATTATTGAGTCTGTCAGCAGATACGACACGCATTATTTTGTTTTCTGTAGGACACATTATTTTCTTTTTCTCAGAATCTTCAGGTATGAAAACTAAAGCAACATATCTAAGAACCTTTTTTTTCAAAATTATTTAACAAAATTTCACTCTTATTCTAGCACCAATCCCTTCTATTTAAATTGTACATTTTTTTGATGTGGGAGAGACGCTGATAAACAGTAAGGTAATTTTATCATGTTTTTAAAATTTCTTCAGATAGGCGGATTTTTCGTTGAATGTGGGGCACTTGATGGGGAAACTAGATCAAATACCTTAATATTTGAGCGCACCAGGAGTTGGAACGGTCTATTGATTGAAGCTGACCCATCAAACTACAAGCTATTGAGGAACAAGAACAGAAAAGCATTTACCATAAATGCTTGTCTCAGTGTTTACTCATATCCGGTAAAGGTTAGTTTTATAGTTGACACTGGGGTAAAACTGATGACCGTAATTCGATTCACGGTCATCTCAAGATGGCGGACGCAGAATTAGATCAGAATCGGAATAGTCTGTTAAAGTGTTTCTACAATATATTCTATATAAAGCAAACATTGGTATGATATAAATTTATAAAAGATTCACACGGAAATCTCAAATTACTACCGAGAAATGTTAATGAGACAGGAAATTATATAAGAAAATATTGCTAAGATGACCGTAATTCATCAGCATTATTTTTTCAAGATGACTGTAACATATAACAAGGATGACCGTGATTCAATAATCCGAATAACATATAATTTTGAGTTTGTCTCAATTCGGGCTCGGTTAGCGAATATAAATATGTTTCATCAATGTCTTTTTAACTTCTTGCCGTATTTTAGGTACAGGACATAGATAGTAAATTGCATATTGCTAGTAAACATTGAAATATTGATAACAACATTAATATTTTAACACAAATTGACAGAAATACGATAAAAAGTTTTGAAAAAATTTATTAATAGATATAAGAAGATGAGGTATGAGTGCCAATGAGACAACTCTCCATCCAAGTCACAATTTGTAAATAAATAACCATTAAAGGTCAAAGTACGGTCTTCAACACGGAGCCTTGGCTCACACCGAACAATAAATGCTCCAAAAATGACTAGTGTAAAACCATTCAAACGGGAAAACCAACGGTCTAATCTATATAAAAAAACGAAAAACATATTTATATCCACTAACCGAGTCCATGTATATCACTACAAAAGTCTAAAAGTCTGAAAAGACCAGTTTTTGTCTTAATTTGCATGAACTTTTACTCGACATTCTCCAAAAGTATGACTTGTGTCTTAATTTTTCTTGACAAATTCTCATTTATATTAAATTTGTATGAAATTTACTCGACATATTCTCGACATTCTGGATATGGTCTTAAAATTTCTTGACAAATTCTTGACATTTGAATACTGTCTTGAAATTTCTCGACATATTCTCGACATTCTTATTTTTTCTCAGTATGGCTTGACATATTCTGAACATTTTGAATCGTGTCTTAAATTTACTTGACAGGTCTGAGTTTTACAAATCATGACCAATATTCATGATATAACTTTAATCTTTATTTCTCTTTATATGATATACTGTTGTTTCAAGTTACACTTCTTTACAACAAAAATAAAAGTTGGGCATGTAAAATAATTGAAAATTGGGTATATAAATATTTTCAGAGACATATATAAATATGTGCATATATGTCTCTGATATTTTTACAAATGCAAATATGGCTATGAAATCTAAAGTATAAAATAATTCAAATGTGGGTGTGTTGATATAAAACAATTTCAATGTGGGTTTTTAAATAATTACAAATTTTGATTCCTAAATCTTATAAATTAAATGATTCAAACCAATCATACTGTAGACATATTTCATTCTACATTCATAATATTCAATGTTGATATGGTAAATAATTATTATACCAAAATGTGGTTTATATAAATAGCAAATTATGATGATATACAAATCATTCATTTAACAGAAGAAAAATTTGTGTAATGTCATCTGTTGGAATATATTAAGTATTACACATGGACAGGATGTTCCCCATAAAATTAAGGTATTCCACACCCCAGAGTACACGCAACTGTCAAATAGAAGTTATTGCTTTACCTGTAATCAGCCATACAACTTATCAGTTGACCGACCATGCCACTACAATTTAAAAAGTTTGTTGATAGATGAGAATGAAAATTATGAAGCTAATTATTTCAACATAAAAACAAATTGAATAAATCCCAAAGATTAAAAGAAAATTATTATCTACTCCAGGAATAATAAAAAAAATGTATTTATGATGGGTCCCATCAATGATTTCTATAGAAATCATCAGTCTTATGAAATGGTTCTCAAACAGACATGCATAATATAGATCTAAACATTTTTTTTTTTCAGGAAGGAGTTATCACAAATATTTATTTTTGTTAAAAAATTATAAAATTCAACACTCAAATTTGAATAAAAAATGTTTTTGGGTTGTTCTAAAAAATAAATAAGGTTTTTGAATCAAGATGGGAACAAATTCTTTGACCTAAACGAAAGCCCCCCCCCCCCCCCCCCCCTCTTTTTTTAGCCACACACACCCAAAAGATGAATTGTGGGGTCCAAAAGAGATACAAGACACCTATTTTAGTAAAGCAAATTTGACTGGCAGTTTTGCGAACGGCAAAAATCTAAATGCTGTTTGTCAATACCTTCGACTTATATTCCAAGTGAAAACAATTACTTAAATGTTTTATAAAAATAAATCAAAATTAAACTACATGGGGGATTATTCGGGGTATTCCAACTTAGTTGCACCAAAAGGGTATCTTACTATACCAAATTAATCCTTGATTCTTCAAAGTTTAGTTTAGCCATAATAAAAAGGAGTATACAACAGCAATAGAATGTCATAAACAGTGCTGAATAAGTCTGTTCACATTTCAGGCGAATTTTATACTGTTGAGATAGTGTCAAGACATATTTAAGACTGTCAAGAATGTGTCGAGACATATTCAGACATTATTTAGAATGTCAAGAATATGTCGAGACATATTCAGACATTATTAAGAATGTCAAGAATATGTCAAGACAGATCGAGACAAATTTAAGACAGTCAAGAATTGGTCGAGACTAATCCAGACTCTTATCAGATGATACAGGAAGTGTCGAGAAATTTTAAGACAATGTTCATACTGTCAAGACACTTGTCAAGAAAAATTAAGAACCTTATTAGACAAATTCATACTATGTCAAGAATTTTTAAAAACTATTCAGACAAATTAAGAATGTCGAGTAAAAATTCATGCAAATTCAGACAAAAACTGGTCTTTTCAGACTTTTTGACTTCTGTAGTGTATGTTTCCACGGGAAGCAGATTAAAAGCTAACTTTGTCTTGATGTATGAATAACATTTTTTAAACAATTTGACAAGGTTCCTCCTTGTAATACGCTATTCGTGCAAGACTGGTTGTAGGATCTAAGTGGTAAGTTAAATTATGAATTTGGTAATATTTTGCCGGAGCTCACCTTCATCAGTTTGATCGTAGTTTTTTAACAACAGTGTCTGTCTATATATAAACATAAACACATATATATATATAAATAGATAGCAAATTCGTGCAATTGGATTTTTCTAGGTCTGTTTGATTTCATATTATAGGTTAAAACAATATGTTGATAATCGTGTTTACCTGTATAAGAACGAGTTTTAGTAGATCTAATTAGTCAACCAAATGGTTTACACTTGTTTCTCTTCCAATGTTGACATACTTTTCCTTTCAATAACTGAACCCATAACTAACTAAGGGGTTCAATTGAAGTTCACATGAATACGGATTTAATGAAGTCGAATTATTCACTTGCAAGTGAATAATTCATTAACGATGTCTCTTTGCTTATTTTGACAAACTGAAACAAACTGGCCACGAAAAGCGAATTATTTTTTCACTTTCATTAATGATTGAACACACAAAAAAAAAAATTATCTCGTAGCTAATGCTCCTTTAATATTTTATTGAAATAATTCTTCTTACATGTTTGATTTACTTTTCAAATTATTTAATTCTTATAAATTATGTTGCAAATAGCATCAATGGATACAGTAATTAATTAGTATCCCTTTTCATAAAGAAAACGATTATCTGTTTTTAAAAGATTTGTTCTATTTAATTGAGATATTATTACTTTTTAAGGATATATCGTTGAACACTATTGATGTTATGTATAGTTTAATAAACCCAAGTTACTTGAAATTTTTAAAACATTTTGTGTCTGGGCACTTACACATATGAAGACATGAACCATTCATAATTTTAGCAATTTTATTTTTGATATCAATTGTTCAGTATCACTCTGAGCAAGGAAGTATTATATTTTATTTTACTTTCATGCTCTGAGGATGTAAACTTCAAGAGTCATTGCAAAATTTTGACCCACTCTGTTGGTTTTCTATCATGAATCTTTTTTTCATACATGTCATAGTGAAAGTGTCTGGGACAGATTCATTTAGGAGTTATGTTCTGTTGGTATTTTCAACCTCGGCAATTTACATTGTTTTTGGAAAGTACATTTCTTGGTTAAACTCCAATGGGGGGGGGGGGCTTGCAGATTTTTCATTAAAAGTTTCTGACCTCGATAAAGTTGAAAATAAATATTCTGGTTTAACTTCCTAGAAAATTTATTCTTACCGCCATGTATATTTTTTAGTAAAAAAAAAAAAGAATCTTGCTCTAAAGTGGTTGAAGAAAATTTTCTGACCCACAATACTTTTCTAAAATAAATATTCTGACCCTATAAAATCTATCCGACCCTCACCTCAGAATCAAATGATCGTTCCCTTACCTGAAAAAGTTTCAAAATTTCAATATTTTATTGTTCGGGAAATTCATGCATCAACCTGAACAGAGCCAGACTATAATTTGATCTTATATAGAAATGAACATTAAATTTAATCTTAGATGCATGAGTTTTTATATTAGTTGTTATTGGCTTTGAACCAACTGTCAGTAACTGCGAGTACTCTCAGATTTGTACTTAGTGTCTTTTTGTTGTTGGGGTGTACAAGTACCCGTCCACGTGTTTTTGTTATATGTATTTCTATTTGTATCCATCTGATGAGTTAAGCCATTCTCAACTGATTTTTATAGTTTGTTCTTATTTTACTGTAACACAACTGTCCAAGGTTAGGGGAGGGTTAGGATCCCGCTTACATGTTTAACCCCGCCACATTATGTGTGCGTGTGCCTATCTCAAGTTAGGAGCCTGTAATTCAGTGGTTGTCGTTTGTTGCTGTGTTACATATTTTTTTTTATCTTCATATTTTTGTATATTAATTATGCCGTTAGTTTTCTCGTTTGAAATGTTTTACATTTGTGATTTCGGGGCCTTTTATAGCTGACTATGCGGTATGGGGTTTGCTAATTGTTGAAGGCCGTACGGTG